TTAAGAAAGGACTTGTGTCGCTAAAGTTTCGTCGGAACGAATTTACGGAAAATTAATCAACGAACGGAGACGTAACACTTATTTTAGTTTAGCTAAGATTTTAGCATTTACTGTTTTAAAATATTTTTTAACTTTGGGATTATTTTCATTTTGTAATTTGACTTAATCTCAGAATGCCAGCGATAAATTTTGAATCATTAGCATCAAGTAGTATGGGGTCATAATGATACCACGTTGGCGTTCTACAGTTAATTGTAGTTTACCTTGCAGGGAAGCACTCACTGGACCGGTGAGGGAGAACTTAGTAAAGTTTCACTTTGTTTCTTTTACTTGCCATTTCAACACAGCTGAATAGACACCCTTACCTTTGTTTTACTTGTGATTGAAGTTGTTGTTATTTGTTAGTAAAGATTTTCCTTATGCACCTTCCTTGATTCGACCCTTTCATCACGACTAAATTACTTAGAGATTGGAGAGATAACAGACACACACCCAGTAACTTGATATGCTTCGAACTTCCAGTTAGCGGGCTTAAACTGAGTACTTTGAGAGAAATACGCGGGCCGTAAAATACCTCACAATTATGTAGACATATACTCTGTCCAATGTAATGAAACTCTTCCACATTACATGTACCAAATACAGCTCGCACAGCTTTTGAGAATTAGTCTGTACACCTGAGGAGAAGCTTATGAATATGACTTTTGTGTTGATTTTGTAGAGCTAAATCCATAAAAATTATCATGTTTACAGATTCAACATATGTTCTTTCTTTACTTGCAAAAGGCAACTATGTTTTCGTTACTTGCAGTGACAAGCTCTTTATAGTTTCTTCACTATCTGTTAACCTAGACCGATCTAGTTGTTGGTCGCAGAGAAGCCTGTTGTGTTCCATTCTGAGGTCACACAACATCTAACTCTATCGATTACATCTCAATATTAGAGATATGCTTTCCTTCGAAACGTAAAAATGTACGAGCGTGCGTGTTTCTATAGTCTAAGTTGAGAAGTTTAACAACACAAACTCGTGTAATCATGCTCTCCCAAAAGCGATTAATTTCCAGCACCATTTGTTCTTCAACTGAATTGCAGCAAATATTTTTAGGGATTTTAATCTGTGTAGACACAAACCACGCGGATGGTCAGAAGCAAAGTTACTAGATTTGCAAATGGTTATCATAAAACGTGAACAACCCTTTATAACGACAGTTTGTTTGTTTGAAGTTAAGCACAAAGCTACACAATGGGCTATCTGTGCTCTGCCCACCACAGGTATCGAAACTCAGTTTCTATTGTAAGTCCGCAGACATACCGCTGTACCACTGGGGGCAGTATAACGATAGTAGAACTGTTATAACTTCAATAGATAGCCCACTAACAAGAATATTTTTATTTGGTAAGCCGTCTATATTCTACTTTTTGTTTTAACATTCAATATTAGTTGAACCAGAAGAATTAAATCCGAAATACCAGATTCCTGTAATAAGATACTAAGATGAAAGTTTGTTAAAACTTTATATCGGAAATATTTAATACTATTAATAAGATTTAAAAAAATAAAAATTCGAAATTAGGCATATAAATAAGATATGGGAGTTTTGTTTGTTTGGTTATTCTTAAGCACAAACCTAAAACAATAGACTAACTGTGCTCCGCCCACCACTGGTATAGAAACCTTATGTTTTACAGACTCTCCTGCTGAGCTATTGCGGGTAAGATATGAAAAGTTGTAAATATAAATTTGAAGGATTGATTCGAACCTATCAAGCCTTACAAAGTTATATCTTTTTGAATAATGCAATTACCTGAAAAATATATGCATGAAATAATTATATTAATTATTACTGCCGGATGTTCATCATAGGTTAATCAGATATCTGGGCTTAAGTTTCAGTCTGTATGTCAATATTCATATTTCCTTGAACATTTTTAATATCTAACAGAAATACTTTACAATAATGCAAAAGAAGTGTAAAATCTTCATTATTTATTTATTCTTTATTGTAATTGTTATATTTGACAGAGGGCGCTATGGAAATGTATGTTTTATTAAATATCAATGCAAAATTATAAATGTCGCCATAAATTTTCAACATAAAAAAAATTTAAAAAGTATATTTTTTATCAGTTTTTATTTAGTGAAATGGCTACTGTACAAGACTGGGCTAAATATACAGACGAGCAAGAGAAAAGTCTATATAAGAAGGTAATAAGAGGATACAGTGTGACAGACGGTAGTTATATGCTATTGCTAGTATATATGCACTGGAATCTCGCTTCCGTGTTCCACTCCCAGTGAAAATTAAATACGCCTAGTAAATAACTACTTGAATTCCATTACTTTTATGATGATTTCTAAAAACATTTTAAAATAATTCTCGCCCTTTTCGTTGACACACACTGAACTGTTTGAGGCTAATGTAATGGTAACAATATTTTAAGTCCAACGGGGAAAATCCGTTTTAATAATTTTCATATGTAGGCTTATCTTTTAAAATTAAATTGTATTTCCATGTTAAAACAAAGCAAGAACTGAATAAGTGTTCAAAAGATATATCAAAACCAGTTTAATAAAGAGAAGTGGTGAATTAGATTTAAAAATTTTACAAGTTAATTTTGTGTCAAATTAAATCAGGTAAAATTGTGGTGCGTTTTCTTATTCCATAAACGTAATGGCGATTATTATTAATACAATTGTACTTTGTAGTGGGCATCAGTTTAACTGTACTTGCAAGTTATGGTGACTGATAGCCCTTCGTATATAACAGTACCATTTACTGATTCAGGGGATATTTATTTCACTGTTTCATACTGCATTGAGATTTCGCAATTATAAGGTATACTCTTTCATATTTACTTTTTGTTGAGATGTTACACTTAACTAAATTATTCGTTTGCAACAGTTTTTACAGGTTTCATTTTGTGTTCCATTAATTAAGACGTGATAGTTGTCATATAATCTCTGTCACATTTAGTGATTAACAGTGGTTGTCATTGTTGACAGTAGTCATAAAGTCCAAAGCACAAAAATTGTAGAACTTCAAACAAGCATTTCACACTGTCTTCAACTACGATTAAGATAAACTGTCAGTTAATCATCCACATCTACCCTATTTAGAACTGCTGCCCCCAAAAGGGTATATTTCTGTAATCCTTTCATGAACATATGAGTGTCACTGATTCATTTCTTCTCACGATGAAATTGGAGAATTGAATACCTGGAAAACATATATATATAAAAATAAAAAATAACTCTCTCATGTTCATTTTTCCCATTATTTTTTTTAAACTAATGATGATTAACTGCAAATTTAATTTGCCTAATATTATGATGAACTAGAGTGAATTTTATGAAATTTTTAATATTTTAATTTAAAAATAACACATTCATAAAAAATATTATTAGTCGTAAGTTATGATCAATTCTGTATTTGAACCATCAACATTATTTGTTAGAAGCTGTATATAATACATGAGAAAAATTAAATTGTATTTATCAGGTTAATGAGTCAGAGGTGGTTTACATTTAAATAGGATAGGGGCTAGTTTGTTTGTAAGGGCTATTAACACAACTGTAAGGGCAACTTAGGCTAGGAGTAGATAATGGAAAGGACCAGAATAATGAAGAAATAACAAGATTTAGAGAGGAGTACAGTGAGAACAAGGTACAAAGGTAGTTTTAATGGTAGGCTAAACTGTTGTTTTTGTAATGCTAGAAGTATAAGAAATATAATGGATAACTTTAGAGCACTGGTTGGAACAGAAGATTTAGATACAATGGGAATAACTGAAATCTGGGTAGATGTAGACAGTTTTGATGACAGAAATTTCTTTGAAATACGGGCTTTTAAGTTGTTTAATAGGGATAGAGTTCTAAAATAGAGGGGGTAGTAGTGGTTTTTTATGTAAAATGTGAGTTATAACCTTTTGAAGTTGAGGATATCAAAGCTAATGGTTGAATCTATTCAGGTTTCTGTTAAATTCTTATAAGGGGAGAAGGTTTTTTAGATGAAATTTGTTACATACTGCCAGATGAAACTAATGAAGTTAATGAAAAATTCTACAGTGAGATAAAGATTTCAATTGTTAATGAGGTTATAATAATGGGAGATTTTAATTTTATTCACATAGCTTGGGAAATGTTTAGAGTTAATTCATAAGGGAGATAGGTTTTAGCAGCTGTTCAGGATGGTTTTCTTCAACAATTGGTTAGGGAACCTACTAGGAATGAATCCAGAAAAACTAGACACTGGACAAGTAGACATCTATAAAAATGATGAAGCAGGACATTTAGACACCACTTGTGTATTATAAAATAAAACAACAATTACAACAGATTACTCTACTACCAGTTTAAATTTTCTCCATTATATGAACTGTATATATCTAGGCCTACTACAATACCAGTTTAATTTACTCCATTATATGAACTGTATAGATCTAGGCCTACTACATTACCAGTTTAATTTACTCCATTATATGAACTGTATAGATCTAGGCCTACTACATTACCAGTTTAATTTACTCCATTATATGAACTGTATAGATCTAGGCCTACTACATTACCAATTTAATTTACTCCATTTTATGAACTGTATAGGTCTAGCCTCTGGGCCTATTTTATTAAAATTTTAAATCTACTCCATTATTTGACTTACTTAGATCTAGGTTTCTTATATTATAAGTTTAAATTTACTCCATTTTATGACAATTAGACATTTATGTTGAGAATCAACAAATTCTTCCTTTAAGTATGTTGCAAAATTTTAAAAGTTTTAACACCTCTATAAAATTATTAGATGTTTAAATGTCCTACTTTCTCTTTTTTTTTAGGTGTCTAAATGTCCAGTTACCAATAGAAACTGCTATTTTAGATTTATTGTTAACTTCTAGTAAATGGTTGAAAGACTGGAGATTTGAAAGCATCTGGGTGCAAGTGATCATAATTATGGGTGATTTTAATTTCAGGCATATATATTGAGAAATGTTAGTCAAACCATGAGGGAGAAAGGTTTTGGAAACTGTTTAAAATGGTTTTATTCATGAATTGGTCAAGGAACCTACTAGAAACAATGCTATTTTAGAGTTATTGTTAACTTCTAATATAGAAATGGTTGAGAGAGTGGAAATTAGGGAACATCTGGGTGCAAGTGATTATTGTTCTGTTAAATTTGATGTTTTGCCGCATATGAAGATAAGGAATAAGGAGATTTTGGTTTCAAGTTTCAAAAAAAGCAATTTTTGAAGATATGAGATAAAATTTATCTGCTGTGAATTGGACAGTTAAATTAGTTGGAGATACTGATCAAATGTGAAAACATTTAAAAGATAAATTCTGAAATATTCAAGATAGCTATATTCCTTATCCCTTTTGCTACAGCTAGCCCTTTAAACACTTCTGTGCAAGTCACTGAGTTATATTCAAAATTTAATTAAACATCTTTACTATCCATGTATGTTAATGAAATTAACATTATAATGTATGTTGTTATTCAAAGTTTTAGGTTATCTAAGTTTTAATTCTATTATTTCAAAAGAAACCTTTAACAAAATACTTAAACTTCAGTTTTGTGTTGTCATGTGACCCACGAGCCATGAGAAACCTAAACTTTTGCATTTTGTCTTGATTCAGATAACTCCACTCCTGTAAATGTGTGTCTAGACAATTAAGTATGTTTACTTGCCCTATTGACATGTAAGCTTCAAAGTTCTCTGACTAAATGGAGTAGAAACAAATAATAAATATTGTCAACCCCTGATGAGAGCATGCCCACATTCTATACTTTTGCTTTAGCTTTATAACATACATGTAGCTGTTAGATATTCAAAGTTATAATTTTCCTAAATGAAAATGTATTTCTGATAAATACGTTCACACTTCCCACCCATCCTCCTTACAATCTTCTGGTGCTCGTGTCTTCTGCCAAACATCGAAGTTATAGTTTGGTAGGGTCGCGTGATAGTAGTGCTCTCCTATTGGTGGAGAGGTGACGAATGATGATTTGCATGAGAGACGTGTTGGAACTTTGGATTCCAACTGAGGGAGGATGAAGGCTTGTGGCATGCATTTCTGAAAAAGTTTGCATGTAGAGGGCAGCACAAAATGAGAAAAGCTAATGTTGTGAGCAGAGGGAGAGTACCTTATCGGAAGTTAACTATATTAGGGCTGTAGGAAGCAGTAAAGCCAGTTCTCAAATAGGTATAATTTTTTAATTGTGTGTTAAAACAAGATTTATTGTTGTTTTCTAAAACAAGACATTTACTAATTGTCCAGATGAGTGCATTTTTAGATTTTTTTTTTTACCCACAACAACAGTTAGGTTTTCAAAATTCTATCAGCATTTCTATTTCATTCACAAAACTAACGCAACATCTGGAGTACAAGAAACATTCTTTAATTAAATCTTTCATTGAACATCTTGGTGATACCTTAAGGATACAGCTTCCTATCTGTTTCAATCAAAATTGCCAACAGTGACGTGGATAGTGCACACACCCTGTAAAAGAATATCATTATTGTTTTCTCTTGTATTAAATGCTGTTTTCTTATTCTGGGACACATTCTTTTTCATAGGGATTTCTATAAGCTCCAGTAACTGTACCGTTCTTCATCACACGTGTCACCTTTGTTTGTGTGTTGTTGAAATGAATATTGATTCACATTGCTATACACTGTGTCCTATCTCTTTTATTCTTCACAACTCAGTGAAAGCTGGAGAATAAAATTTAATTCTACATAACATTTTCTGTCAAAACATTTAGTTATCCTACCTGATTAAGGGAAATGAGTGCACTTGAGAATACCACAATTGTTATAAAACTGATCTTTAGGAAACCTTGATTGTAGCACCTGCTTTATCAGAAAACTAAACATTTGTGCCCAATGTTTTTTTTTTGTACTAATAAAATTTTTCAGTATGCGTTAAACATTAATATATATATAAATATACTATAAAATTTCAGCCTACAAATTAATCTTATATGAAGAAGCTTATCAAAATTCTTCTTAAGAATTGAGTGAAATAACATCTACCAAAGCATTCGTACTGTTTAAATAAATCTTATCAAAACTTTTTTAACAAGCTGATGAGATAAGAAATCTCCTTCCTCGTATCACATTGACTGTTATTAATATAAATCCATTAATTACAATGCTTTTTGTGATAATCCTTAAATATTTATTCAAAAAGAACCTTATTAACCACCAAGACTTTTTTCTTGTAAAACATGTTACACAATACTAATGAACAGTTGTGAGAAGTGAAGCAGTTTGTATCATACAGTATGAGTGGGGATCAGGAAAAACTGGAAAAGCTCATTAAAAATTAGTATTCTATTGTTTCCTACTAGATGGTATGAACATTTTGTTGTTGCATAAAATTCCTGCACTCTGTGACATGGTTCAAAGATCCCCTCTTGATTGACAGAGGCCCCAATGTACCGTTCAAGCTCCTCCATTATCACAAGTTATTTCTATAGCTATCCCAATGAGGGTCTATACCCACCATCACCCCCCAAAAAAATAATTAAGAACAGTTGTCTTGGTACCTGGGCACATGTAACAAGATATATCTTGCTAGCTTTTTGAGTGGGGGATGAACATAATTGCAAACTTGGTTACCCTGAAATCCTGAGGGTGGCCAGAAACACAAAAATTGATGCCAGGCATAAGTTCAATGACCCTGAAACCTACTGTTTAGTCCCCCATCATGCCTCAGTAAACTTCCGGAGGCATTTTAGCCTCACTTGATACATACTAGGTGGGGGAGAGTCTACACCAAATAAATCAGGAAATGCTACCAGGACACGTAAAGTCTACCTATCAAGTTTGTTCGATCTACCTTCAGAACTGTAGGAAGAACTAGCTAGATATACGTACAACAAATGCTACAAGCTGAATTAATATAGGATAATATGTCATTATTGAGACAATATATAAGTTGAGTGGAACATAAATTTGTTCTGTTTAACAAAATTTATGATTGTTTGGTTCACTTAAGTATCTGTGTTTATATTTTTTCTTTGTCATCTATACTTAGGTGGAAGATATTAAGGTATCCACAAGCAGCAGTGAAAAAATTAATGTTTCAAAAAATGAAGGAGCAGGAGAGACTGAGGAGCCAGGTTGGTCAATCCATGCGTCATACTCTATTAAATTCTATGGCATTTTTCAACTACCTACAAATAATTGTTATTTTTAGTTCTTAAAAACACCTGGAAAATGCAAGTTTATTCATTTTAAGTGGTAGTATAGATTTTTATGCTTTTAAAATTAATATTGATAGTTTATAGACCTTTATTCTATCATTTTATATACAATAATGTTAAATATGAAGTTTAGAACACTTTCTAAGGAAATTACTCAATGTATTATACATATAAGAAAAGTTACTTTGGAATAGGCTTATAGTACCACATATTTGAAGTAATAATCTTGGCACAAGTTATCAATTTTTGTTGCAAATTACACACACTTCTCTTTAAAGTTATAATTATGTTATAAATAATTAATAACTGGTGTACAAATTAAATGACTGATACTGTTATTAATTCTTACTCTAATTCGTATTTCTAAATGACTTGATAATAATTACAATTCACTTACTTAATCTGTTTCATAACATAACAATTACTGTTCATGCAATTGATATTACAAATAGTGCCTTGACCACTATTGTGTTGTATTCCAGCCAGCCTAATGAGCCTTGGTATTGGGCAAAAGATATTGTTGGTGATAGCTGTGGCAGGTATAATGTGGTTGAAGTATTATTGTACATACTTTTTTTTTTTGACTTTCAGTCATAAGTTTGTAGAATTATATATTTCATTCATTGGAATAATGAACAAGCTAGGATTTAATTTGAAACCATGATTACTTGACCCAGTTACTTCATTTTAGCGCAGGTAATATAGTAATAGTGAAAAAATAGGACTAAGAGTAACACCTCTGTTTAAAGTAATAGAATACTGACAAAAGTGATGTGATCATATTAAACATATACATACTTCCTATTCAGACTTGTCTAATTGTGATCTAAAATGGTTCTTACTAATAAAGGTATCTTGATAGTTATACATGTAAGAATGAATACCTTTGAAATCACACATTTTTCTCATTCAGTTTAAATTTTTGACTTAATAGATGACAATTATGAAAGTGATTGATTACTGAACGTTTTGAGTTTGTGAGTATGCATTCATTACAAATAAAAAAACTTGTTGATTATTGGTTATACAGAAACATGTTATCTTTAATTCCATGACAGAAATTTCTGCAGCTGAGTTATCTCTGATGAAAAAGATCCTTCGATCCAAGTTAATTAAAAGCACCAATGATGTTGAAGTCCAGCGAAATGATCCTAACTCTCCTTTGTATTCTGTTAAGTCATTTGAAGAGTTAAATTTGTAAGTATTTGACAGGCAGCTTCTATAAAGTTGAAGCAACATAAAAATGTTCCATCATAAACATTGTTTCAAAATATTCCACTTAAATGTAATAATTTCTCTCTTCATGGTCTGATGCTTTTGAGAAAGTTTGTATTTAACAATGTTTTGTATTCCTCTGGTAAATTCAATTAAGATTTAAACCTGAAAGCATCAACACAAACTTGTTATTATGTAAAATATAAATTTTAAATGTTAAAAAGTTTACTCTGTAAACATAATATTTTTGTGAAAATTCTTGTCTGTAGACTTATTCATGCACAATACAAGTTGGTATGTCACTTTACTTGTGTCAGGTAGAATATTATATGGTAAATTTTGTACCCTGTTATGCAGCACAACTTTACAAATGAATTTCAAAAATATAAAGCTAGCTTATACTCCATAAAAACTGTCAGTATATAGCTGACAAGTTACAAAATTGACCATGATTTGTTGCTTATGATGAGAAAGGAGCAGTCTGTGAAATGGAGTTGTGATTAGTCATTACTCACATAATCTTATCACATGCCACATTTAACATGTGCACAGCATTATGTGATGTTGCACATGATTTAGACACAAAAGATATTTTTATATCAGGTTATGTTTTACAGCAAATTTTCATGTATGAAGAGCCACATTGCCATAGAAAATTGACAAAAACAGCACTTAGTGCTGGATTTCTTTAAAAACTTGTTGGGAATAGAAGTTAGGTAAGTATGCTCAAGTAAAAGTAGTAAAATAATACATTTGACATGATAGCTGATCCATATACATTCAGTATGCACGCACACACACACACACACACACACTGTATTACCGGTAATTTTTAAAGTTGTGTCTGAGCACCAGGAATAGGAATGAAGATTGGTGTTTTATTTTGACCAATTGCTATTGATTTCTGTTCGAACTTCTGTCCTCATTGAATACAATCATGCTTAATTTCATAGTAAACAAGGTTAGAGCTTAATTATTCATACTAATCCTTTGCTCATTGCAATGATCTTTCTGCAGTCACTTACAAAAGCATGTAAGATTTCATTTACTAAAATAACCTATTGCTATCTGCAATTTTTCATTTTATTTAAACTTTCTCCCTACAAAGAAATTGTCTTTTCCTTCTGTTTTTATGCAAGTTTTCAGACTGCAGCACTACTAGGTGTTCTGATACACTCCAGATTGCCCTTTTAGAAAAACAATTGTATCAGAAAAAAAAAGTAGAAGACCTAATGTAAACTTTAGTTTTTAGAGCTTTCTAGAAAATATTACCCTGTATATGCAAACCTGATGGCTACTTCTGATGGAAAAATCTGAAAGTTAGCCTAAAAGATTTTGTGTACAATGCATAATATCCGATCACACCTAGCTTTTCCAATACAGTGCTGCTCTCTGTATGCAAACTTTTATGCTCACTGCTAGCCTTGAGGCTCCTACCTAATATCACGTTTTCACTTGATATCTTGTGTGTTGTTACATGCAAATGAGCATATGACAACTCTCCACCAATAGTAGTGTGACACTGCCTTCTAGCACAGCTGGCTCCCATTATACCAATTTGTGATTTGGCACTTGTGTGTTAAGACAATTCTTATTTGTGTTTTTGTGTGATTTCACAACATCAACGTTTGGTTGAAGTATCTACAAAACCAACTGTTGTTGAAATATTTTTTGTTTTTATTTTCAAGCAGTTCTTCCTCTGCAGACTTTGCGACTCTTGTTTTCCACAACATGAATTACACAGAGATAGTTATTTCCTCCCTGTCTAGTGTTGAACATCTGGACTTCATTCACTCTAGACCAGTGGTTCTCAACCTTTTCCAGTAATGCACCCCTAGTTAATTTTCAACATTATCATTTATACCCCTCACCGGACACACACAAACCACAATACCCTCATCCTACATGCATTTGATGACCAAGATTTTCTTAAGTAACAGTATCCCAATTACATACGAAATGAGGGGAATACCAATTAAATATATAATTTGGAAGGCTATAAAATGCCAAACAAGAGATATAAACAAACCAGTGTGCAGTTATGCATGAGAAATAAAAAGTTACTTACATTAATGTTTTTTGCACCTGTTTTCCAGACATAATCTTGATGCACAGTCGAATTATGGTCACTGCAAGGATGAGATCATGTTTGGGGACCAGACAAGACGTCTTTTTTTTTTTGTCATCAAAGTTGAGAAACCTTGCTCTCACGTATATATAATTGGAAATGATAAAAGTGCTATAATTGCAGCATCACCTAATTCCCCAAACTTTGTCCAAACAGTGTAACAAAAATTAAATATTTAATTTTCTTGCAGCTTAGCATATAATATGCGATCAGTAGACAGTTTGATTAATTTCTCTTAAACACATAATGAAACAGAAACATCAAATATGACTATCACTGAAAGGATTTACAACCCAGTCAATTGTGTCATCAGAATTTTCAGTTTCATGAAAGTACTTCATAAAAGTATTGCTAAGATGGCTCAAATGCCCATTGATAATTGCAAACTCTCCAGAACCAAGTGCTATTTCGTTTTCAGCTTTGATATCACTAAGTAACTGGAACAGTGAGATATATTTGTTTTCAACACTAGCCACCCACATAGTAAGCTTTTTATGAAATCCTTTTACCCTATTTTGTGATTTGGAAATGTTGTTGTTAAAACTCTGTACTTGAATATTTAATTCATTCAACTTTCTGAATAAATCAGCAAGGTAAGCCAGACAGCATAGCAAAGTATCGTCTAGAAAAAACTTGCCATATCAGGTTTCATTTCTGAAAGGAAATGTTCAATTTGACATCTTAATTCAAACAATCGAATCAGAACTCACCAACGAGATAACCGTTGTTCCTCTGTATGCAGTAGCAACGTAGTCTAGATCCATTACCACAGTGGTGTTGGGTGCTTCTTTGTCTGTCAGGGTATGTGACAGCTATTGTGCGGTAGTTGGTGGAGTCTTGCATGCTGTCTGGATCTTTTTCAGGCCTTCTCTTATAATTCCCATCCATGAGGACATGGATTTTAGGCAGTCTACCACTGCCTAAATTTGCAAACAATTCTTCCAGTGCAGGCAGGATCTATCTCGACCTTTCGTGACTTTTCTTATCAGGTATGTTACCTCCTATTTCTTATTATTCTTTACTTTGCCTTGTTCATAGCATCTTCTTCAGAATATTATGGTGTTCCTCCTTCACCTCATATTTGAGTCCTTGCTGAAATTTTTTTTGTCTCAACTTCACTCTGGTGTCAGTATGCCTCCTCATTTTTGACTGGATGCACACATGCCTTGGTTTACAATCAAGCTGAATCCCTTTTTTTGGGATTCCCAAACTCTGGAGTCTCTTCTTCAAGCTTGGGGTTCTCATCCATTGTCCTCTGTTAGTCTTTCTCAAGCTCATTTTTCTTGCCTTATCATCACTACACTTGTACATTATCTATCCTCAATCCATCTCCTTTTGGAAGCAATCCAATGTTCCCCTGAGTGGATTTTGGCAAACACTCTTTCCTTTCCTTTTTATTCCTTGGCCTTGACCCTTCTCACATGGTTACTCTGTTGCTGGGATTTGTTGTGGAGGGATGCCCTTCTTGCCTAAATACATTTATCTCTCTCTTATCTTAGAGACCCTCGCCAAGTTCCTTTTTTCAGCTAATGGGTTTTTGTTGGGATACCGGTTTCTTTGTAGTCATGGGCTGAGGCTACATGCCAACATTTTTCATTCACTACCCTTTGTTTTGTCTTTCTCAAGTTCCTTCTCTTCTAGTTGCTATCTCCAGTTCTCCCAACTTCCTTCTGCTCCTTCTTCCATCCTGTTTCTCTTCTCCCATCTGTTCTTCCACTATCTATAATTCCAACAACCTTTTCAATGACTATCTTCTGGGCTGAGGAATAGTGGGAGCCAATTTGGCTCAATTTGTGGATCTGTGGATTCCTTTTGTGACTGACTATTGGGGCTATAGGTTTTTTCCGTTGGCTTTACCCTTCACTTTTCCACTCTTTCTCTTTATCTTCTTTTCCCATTGCTTTCCCTCCTCCAGGGGATCCTGTCTTCCATGGCATTTCTAAGAGGCAGTGTGAGATCTTTTGCATAAGTGTGCTATTTGCTGTGTTTACAGGCTATGAAAGGTGTAGTTTCTACATTTCTATCCTCTCCTTCTTTTCCTGTGTGAGAAGTTTTCTATTCATTGGGGACTTCGGTTTCCTTGGAACTCTTTGGGTCATGCTCACCTACATCTTGTACTGTGGGTTCTACACAATCTACAGAACCTCTTTTAGAGTTGCTTTTTCAGAGTGGTCCCTCAATTTTTGTGTTTTTCAGTGGCTTTTCTTTCATCTGAGCACTCCTCACATTGATGCTTTTGCCACTTACAATAAGTCTCCTGTTCTGTGTATATATATCAGCACTGGCAGTGGATGCGTTCAGTCATGAATTGTCCAATCTCTTTCTTTGTGCTTACCCACCCCTATTTGTCTCTACATCAGTTGGGACACTCCTTATTAGGTCCTTCTGGTAGTGCCCTGTTGGTTAGCCCAATTGTGGGTTCCTCTGCTGAGGCATCTGACTTCCTTCCCTCATCTCTCTTTCTTTTCCACTCTCCCACTTCCTTCTTCTTCACCCTCACACTTCTCTCTTCCATCCAGCTGTGTCATTACTCCTGTTTCACACGTGGAATTTTTCTAGTACCTTGCAGAACTGTTGGGACTCTCTTCACCAGTAGCCTTCTTCCTGTCCCATTCTGTTTGCCTGTCATCCTTAGAAGTTTATCAGCAGAAGTGGCATATTTATTGCCTCTGGTCTTGGCATCAGTCCTTTTCATTCATCTGTTCTCCATTTATCTGTGTTCTTCACATGGTTTTTTCCACCAGGGCTGGTCTACCTTTACTATTGTTGGTTACCAGGCAGCTCTCTCAACTACTTTCTGGTATTCCCTCCCAAGCCCTCCACATTCTTCTAGCTTACCTGACTGGTTCCTTAATGTTGTTCTCCATACCTTTACCATGGCTAGGTGGTTAGAGCACTCGACTCACAGTCTTAGGGTCACAGGCTCAAATCCCCATCCCACCAAACATGCTTGCCCTTTCAGCCGTGTAGGCATTATAATGTGACGGTAAATCCCACTATTCATTGGTAAAAGAACTGTTCAGCAGTTGGAGGTGGGTGGTGATGACTAGCTGCCTTCTCTCTAGTCTTTCACTGCTAAATGAGGGACAGCTAGCACAGATAATCCTCGTGTAGCATTGCAAAAATTCAAAATAAACAAACAAAACCATACCCTTACCCTACTTTCCTTTGAACCTTTGGCTTCCTGTTTCTTATACTTATAAAAACTTATTTCCTCATCCTTCTTGCCTGTGGTTATCAGCATTCTGATGTGTACACCATTGATTCTTTTTATATTATTTTTCATCATTTCTATATCCTTCTCTATCTTGATTGCACTTTTCTCCATAAAATATCTGCAGTATGTCAAGTGATATTGCATTCACCCCTATATATCTTCCTCTCATTCTCATCTTTATTCCTATTTAAATCTCAAGTGCCTCCTCTGTCTTGTTTGTATGGTTTATTGCTATTTGGCCCATACTTCTGTTGGTGGTTTCCGATCTTGTCTCTTTCTTTCATGGAATTCTTCATCCTGTTACTCTCACTGGATATGTCCAACAACTTATCTGTTTAGCATATTCTTCATTGTATGGAGAAGCATGTCAGTGTTTCCAGGTGTCCTCTCATCAAATTTGTCACCTTACTCACTCATTGACTACTTACTTCCATCATCCGTTGAAGAAGACTATATGGGCTGGCGTGTGGATGACCCCTCACAACTTTGTCACACACTGTTTCCATCACCAGGCCATTTCTTCCCCATTAGGCTTATGATTGCCTCCAGTCACTATTCTTCACACATCATACTGTTTCTGACTGGGTAAATCTCTTTTTTTTTTTATCCTCTTTTTACAGAACCCTCACAGGATCCCTCTCAGTGGCAAGTGTTACTTGTCAGGTTATACTTAACCTAAATTTGCACAGTGTAGGGCTGTCCTTGCCTGATATAGTGCTCACCCATGAGATGGGATGTTCCAAAAGACCACTTGAGTATCCTTATGGTGTTAATTTTCATAAATAAGGCCCTATCCAGACACTACCCACTCCTGGACTAGCATGAGTACAGTAGGCAAGGGATTCCTACCCATCTTCCTTGTATAGTTTAAAACCTAGTGCTGGCTTGCTCTTAAAAATAGAGTTTCATGGTCACATGTTGCACTGTCTTACTTTTATGCGCTCATTCATATTCCCCACCATGCTTTCATATCCCTTTTTTTCTTCTAGTAGAGCAAAGGAATCCCAGCCACTGAGGTGGTGTACCATGGAAGATGCTTCATGAGTTTGACCAATCCCACTCAGTAAAGAGTAGGACAGTGGTGTTCTATCCATGTAGTACATTTCACCCCTCTGGCCAGCTTCCCCCATTCTACCACTATCAAGAAGTTGGGTTCCCGGTGGTCTGACATTGGATTGGTGCAGGGCCAGCCAACATAAATCCTCATTCAGTTGCAGGGCAGACTTTACTTTCCCATTCTACGTCACTGTGCTTGAGGTGAAGATTGTAGAGACCCTCCTCCTACTGAAGCTCAGAAGCAAAATTCCTGGCACTACCTGGTTTTAGACCCACCACATACAGCCTGACACACCTTAGCCACACTAAACATATAGCACTTTGGAAAGCCTGATGCAGGTTTTGGACTGTGCTTGTATCTTCTGCCCATCCTGTGATACTTCCTTTCTGAGCAAAGAGTGCACCCTAGTACAAACAAGGTGCAGTCTCTCACAAGTGTGCCCTATACTGATCCAAGGTATAAGGAGTTGCACTGCATGGGTTCTCTTCAGGTGCTTCCCAAAGGGAGCTCATCTAGATAAAATTTTGCACAGGCCCCTTCTATAACTTCATTGTGGCATTCTCACTAGATGGGGATGTTACATATCACGTGAGAAGTTAACGTTTTCCAACACTGTAAATATATTTCTGATAGATACTCACCTTCCCTCACACTTCCCACCCTTCCTTTCCACTTCTGGTGTGTCTTACTTTCTTGCATAATTTTGAAGTGATGATTGAAGAATCAGTAAAGAGGGAACCAACTGTGCTAGGAGGCAGTGTCACACTTCTATTGGTGGAGGGTTGTAGCATGCTCATTTGCATGTGACAATGCAGCAATATCACTTTAAAATACATGAGATTAGGTGGTAACCTCAAGGCCAGTGGTGAGCAAAACATTTGCATAAAGAAGACAGCACTGATTCAGGAAAGCTAGATGTGAGAAGTTGTGAGTATCTATCAGAAATACATTTTTAATGTTAGAAAATGTTAACTGCCTGGCTTCCATTTCTTACTGGATCATTTTATTTTTCAACCAATCATCCTGCCTGGTTACCTTCCACACACCCCTCCCCTAGTCTCTAACTCATGTACCTGAGAAAGTGAAAAGTGTAGAGTAAATTTAATTTAGTTATGCGGCTAGTAGAAGTTCAAATTTTATGGCAGAAGTGTAATTTTACTTCTACTTGCTGCAGGAGCAAGTATTACTTTTTTTGTAATTTGATTTCAAACCCTGTGTAAGAGATTTGTTTTGCATTTATTGAAGTTGTTTGGTTATGTATGCTTAGTGGTAAAGTTTTTTTTTGTATTCCTTGTAATAATTAAAAAAATTAAGTTCTTGTGTTCCTCTTTACTACCATTTAAACTTATATAACTTTGTCTTTTAATTGTTTGTGATACATTTTTCGGTATATCAACTTTTTTAAGTATGGAATTTAAACCATTTAAAATTTTAAGCACATTCATTTAATTTTGGGATAGTTTTATAGGGTACAGTAATTATTAACTACATACATAAACTCTAAAGTAAAGGAGAAAGAGTGTAATATTTCATCAGACAGATCAGGTGTAAGAGTGATAACACAATTTGAAATTTATATTTTCAGAAATCCCAACCTTTTGAAGGGTGTTTATGCCATGGGTTTCAATTCTCCCTCCAAAATCCAAGAAACTGCTCTTCCAACATTACTAGCAGATCCGTAAGCAAATTTTTTTGGATTTATATAAAATAATTTATGTATGTTATATGCACAGTTATATGGTATCCCTCAATTTACGATGTTCAGTTTACATTTTGTTGCTATAACACATTTAACTTTTATGGGGATGTTTTTTGATTTGTGTTTGCATTTTTCACTGTAATGAAACTTTATGTAAAAGTTGTAAGAAAGTTTTGCCTGTTATGAAACAATTTTTTACTATTACAGAATTCAAATAGCTGAAAAGCTATTTTTCTAAGTTATAATATTGAAATACCTTTAGTTACTAAGCTATTCTTCACTACTATGTAATTCAAATTCAGTAGTTGATGATCCCTTGCTGTGTGTTGAAGCTCACTCGCCAGTAACTGTCATAGCCTCTCTTTACTTCTTTTTTGTTTTGATGAATGTGTCCAGTAATATTTAAATGCATAAATATATTCAACAGATATTATTAAATCACACAACTATACACTATTATGAATATCTAGAACTCAAACTTTTTTTGTTATTCAAAGTACAGATATCCATAAGTATTCAAAGAAAAAATATGAAAACGGTAACTTAAGATTTAAAAGAAAAAACATTTTATTCATTTTACAGCCCTCAAAATATGATTGCTCAATCACAGAGTGGAACCGGGAAGACTGCTGCATTTGTATTGGCCAGTCTCAGTAGGGTTGATTCATCTAAATCATTTCCACAGGTAAATTGTTTAAAAAGAACAGAAAAAAACACGAAAAATGTGGAATTTAAATTTTGCAGAAAAATTAAGTATTCATAGAGATGGGTGTAGAGTAGGGAGAGATCTTCTATCTGAAACTGAGATTCCCTCATGGTGATCATTTCTGATGAGGTCAGAGTATCTTAAACAACATAGGTGTTATAATAATTTCATCATTTATTAAAGGTGACTTCATGAATGTTGAGATATGATTTTGTTTTTTCAAAAATGAAGTACTTTATTTATATATGATCAGAGATAGCTTGTGGATATGATATTCAGGTATGCAAAGAATAAATTGAACACAGGCAGCATATATGAAACAAGAAAATTTAATCTCACAGTTAGGTCTTACTTTCACTATCCATCTTCAAAAATCATTGTTTGACTGTAGTTGGCTGCTGAAGCATGCAGGAAGCATATCAGCACAAAACAAAGGCTGAATTAAGAGTCAGTGAGTGTCCCCAGTATATATATTAAAGAGAAATAAACCTCAGCTTGTACTAACTTGTACATCTCTGTACCACCCCTCAACTTGGAGATGTCCCGCATCTCAGGGGAGAGATAATTCAGAAACAGGGTCAGTCAAGCTAAGTCTTTACATTGTCATGTAACCTTCATCTGAGACAGAAGGTTAGTGATTTATTGCCATTTACATAAACTAACTAAATGCAGAAAACCCACAAAAATATTGAAAATATACATATATGTAAATATACATTATTAAAGATATATTATTCTTTAATAATGGAAGGGTGAAATATAACAGTTTCTCACCTTCACCTTGGATTCATTGCACATCTATTGTATGATAAGACATCAAGATAAATTATGTTCTTGAAATTGCTACATTTACAATAACAACAAATTTAAGAGTCATTTTATAATAACAATTCAAGTTGAATGTCGTGAAACAGTTTTTTTTTTAAAAGATTGATATAATGTGTACAATTATGGTTCTTTAAAATATTATACTAATGTTACTATACCTTTCAGTAATCTGTAGAATGTAAAGTACAATGTTGATCAAACCTGGTAACTGAAGACAAATTGTACCAGATTTCCACTTTCAAAATGTTTTAGTGAAATTGTTTGTAATTGAATGGTTTATTGAAATTAAGACAACAGTTATTAAATGTTGTAATAATACATTTGAAAGTTGAAACATAGGGCCTACCAGTACTTTCAGCTTAAATGTAATTGAACAATATACAGACCATCACATGGCTGTATACAGTGTGAGTGAAGGAAAGTACTATAAACATGTAATGCTGAATTACAAATCACAAGAATAGTTTCTTTTCAATTGTATTTAATTCATGTAACGAGGGTAAGGAAGATCATTTGTGTAAAATGAAAATGTAAAGTAAATTGTACACATACAGATGCTTTATATTCAGTTGCATTTGTTGAAACACCATCTTAAATGCTGCAAAATATGCATTATAAAGGAATAAGCAACATTGTAGCTCATTTCTCCAAGTACGTACTTTATATTCTTTCAAAAGTTAACATTTTGAAATGAATTAGACAGTTTTTTTTTTTTTTCTCTAGAATATTCAAACTTCACAGCCTAGCAAAAGTTGAATATCATTATCATTTTTGCCATTGTTTCTAGGCATCAGAAAATCTGATTAACTTGAGTGTTAGTAAAAAAATTAACTAGCCTTTATATATATATACTAATGAAGTAAATTATTACACTTGTATGTATGCTTTCAGTATTTTTATTTAATTTACAATCCTGAAAGAATTAACCTGCTTTAATAAGATTTATGGGCTTAGTTAAATGTATCAGCACTTGTGTTGACATAAAACTAATCCACAAAATGTTAAAATCATATTAAGTATTTAATTTTTTTTTTTTGATAAATGTGAAATTATATTGTAGTTTCTATTTAAAGAATTTTTTTTGTATTTTTACACATGCTGAAAATGGTAAATTGTTTTAATTTTTTTTAGTTTGTTTCTGTAGTTCAGTAGTTCCTAATCTTTCTTAGCACCAGGGACCAGCACAATCAAAATGAAATTTTTACAAATCATTATTTATACAAAAATACATAAAACATAATAAAATCTAAGGCCTTGAATTTGGTAACTTTTGGTTTATTTTCAATGCAGATATGTTGAGTAGTGGTTGGGAATTGCTGCTATAGCTAACCAGAAGTAAAAAAAACGTTTTACCAAACAAAAGATTTCGAACTCTTATACAGTGTAAATAATAACTAGTTAAAATTAAATGTGAATACTTAATTACGATAAACTAATTTGCATACAGAGATCCCATTTCATTATTTAGTTCCTTTGAAAAAAAAAGAAAGTAACCAGATAGCTAAAATTTCAATACTTCATTGTGTAGGTAATCATATTGTCCCCAACTTATGAACTAGCATTACAGACAGGAAGTGTGGCTAAACAAATGGCAAAGTACTGTGACGATATCAAATTCCGCTTTGCTGTGAGAGGAGAGGAAAGTAGGTGTTTTTGTTTGTTGACTTGAAAAATATATAGAATGTGTTAACACTGTTTAAAATTTAAAAGATAATAACAAGAATGATATTAATTTTTATTGTTAGGATGATATTATTTTGATAATAGACACTTATTCAATCTTGCTTTAATTCTCATTTTACCGTAAAAGGGACAGGTATTATCAAAGTGATTAAACAGTTCAAGAACTTACATCAGCACTCCCTAATTTTCATTATCTGATATTGTTACTTTAATGATGGTCATTAACTTTAAAAACACATTTAAAAAGGCAAAATGACCATCATTTTCCTTGGCTTTGTTCTTGTTCCTTTAAGAATGAAATTTGTTACTTTTATCAACGTGTTATAATTAATATTAATAAGTATTACTATAAATCTTTATTTCTCTATTAAGCAGCTATGACTTATGTAAGGTCACATTCACCTCTGCTTGAATAAGCACTAGAATGTAATAGTCATTTGAAAAATTGTAGCACAATGTGAAGCTAGATATAAAGTGCAAAAAAATTTTGATCAGGTTGTAATTATATAAAGAAACCAAGAAAATGTTTTGTTGTTTAATACGTGAGGTGTTGTATGTTTTTTATATTCAATGTTCAGACTGGTATGCATATTTAATTTTCATTTAGTCAAATAACTTTTCTAGGTATTTATGAGTCTTAGAGAAGAATATGCTTATTTATCTGTTTGATATATTTATAAATCTCTTATCTAGTCTCAAAGGGAGAGAAGATCACAGAACAAGTTATAGTAGGAACACCGGGAAAAGTGATGGATTGGGCATTGAGATACAGATTCTTTGATATTCAAAAAATAAGAGTGTTTGTATTAGATGAAGCTGATGTGATGATTGCTACCCAGGGTCACCATGATCAGTCCATTCGAGTTCATAAGTATGTGATTGTATGTTAAACACAATTATCAAATACAAAGTATTATAATTTTTTTCTTATATCCTTAAAGAAGTTAACTTTTCCTCCTCTGTAAATAAAATCAAGGTTCCCAAGCTTACTGGGATCCTTGGAAGTTTAGAAATTAAAATCCTTTCCTTGAATCTCCTGGAAAATTATTAAAAACTCCTGGAGAATCCTGGAAAGTTAAGATAGTCTCTATTGTGATTTCCATGTATGGTAACAGAAGTCTGCGACAACCTTTTTCATCAGTGTAATGCTTACTTTACTTGAGCTTCCAACTGCATCTAATTCTAAACCCTTAGTTTTTACATTGGGTCTTATTTCTTTTGCTAACATGGATAAATTTCGATACAGTATCATATGATAATTATTTAAAAATTAATCATTAGTTTTATCTTCTTTCATACATGACAGTTACATTATTTAATAAAACTAGAGCTAATGGAATTGGCTAATTGATTAATCATGGAGCTCATTTATCGATTATTCTCATAGGAAGTTTGGGTAGTTGTAATAATCAGGCACACTAATTTCAATTAATCAAAATTAATATTGAAAAATCATAATGGCAAAATTTCAATTATGTGGATATTTGTAATAATCTAAAAAATTACAATAAGAAACACTAATTTTGATTATATTCATAACATTAATCCATTTCATTATGCTTTTGATTAATCGACTCTTTTACTTGACACTAATTATTGTAATTGATACTCATATGTAATCGATTAATTGAGTTAGTTGCTCAGCTCTACTTCAAACTGTTGGAACGGGCATACATAAATCATATTGGTTCTGTACATTGTTGATATCTTGATTAACAATAAGTGAACTATTAAACAACATCTCTAGCGAAATCCTTTCATTTTTAAAATGTTGCTTGGTTGTTGTAGGAAATGTAACACTGTCTGCTTTTATGTTGTCTGTCTTTGTGTATTTTGATCAATCAGACCAGAAAGTGGAAGGAAAGAGCTAGGTACAATGAAGTTTACTTCGATAAAATTAAACTATAACGATATGTTTAGAATCAGTCTTTCTAATTTACTGTATGACATTTTTGAATAAGATTACAATATAGACTAATAGATAGTAATTAGTTAAAAACTAACATGTAGATAATCACACACCCAAAAAAAATGATTTAACCATTGCTAACAATAGGTAAGTATAATTTATTGTTTAAAAGCTGAGCTTTATTTCAAGGTTATAGTTTATTCTTATCAACAACTTAAGAAAAACACTGTCAAACTTGTTTATTAATGCTTCACTGCCATGTCTTTTCCACTTTATAAACTCATCCTTAGTACTGTTCATTGTTGTTTTTGAAAACACGGAATGAATAGACCATTTTAAGATGATACTATGCAAACCAACACAGCACGTGAATACAAAGTAAAAAATAATCACTAGGTTTATATATTCATATTGAATAGTACTTCCATGTCAGTTGTTCTTACCGTATTATTGTGCTCTGAAACAGCTTTATTCTTTGACAACGTGTTTCACTCAATCTGTCTCACTAAATTAAAAGCTTGTTATATTTTTTAAAATGAAAAAGCTGAATAGAAGATACTAATTTATATTATATTATAACATTCACTAATAATTGATCCAAGCTGGTTGAACCATTTTTCTGACTAGTGTTAATACTGACTATTATTGTAATAGATAAATTTACAGGGTTTTGTAACAAATTAAGAATTGTATCAAACTATTTTATTTTGTTTGGAATTTAATAAGACAAATTTAATTTTATTGTTGCTGTGTATATTTAGTTACCTGTTAATGATAAAAATGAATTGTAAGTCCAGTAGGAAGGGTCTTGTAACATTTTTTATTTAGAAATTAAAAGTAATATGTAGAATCACATGTAGACCAACTTTTATAATGCTTAATCAAGAAAGTAAACCAGTCAGTAGAGATTGTTTAAACTTAATATCCAGTGTATTGTCTGAAACAAATAAAATGAACACAAGTTGGTCAAAATAAATCTTTTTTGGGTGCTTAAAATTTACGAAATAAATGAGCACTGAAAGAAAAAGATCCTAGTGCTGTTTTGAAAATGTTCTGAACGTTTATTAACCTTTCGTAACTTGTAATATGTTAACACATTCACTGCTGCAGCAATTTTAACCCATGCACTAAGCTAATAATCTACAGTGATTTGTATTGTTTACTTGTGTCAGAGAGGCATCTGATGCTCATTCATTATTGCTAAAGTGCCAAAACTTTAGCAACAGTTTGAAACAAACACTTGGTATTAACAAGTGGAATAGCCAGCACTGGATCAGTTAACCAATAATCCTCTATCAGTGGTTTTTTTTCATTTCAGATGCATCAGTTGGAGACCACTGACATATTCTGCTTTTAGGTTTTAAGTGTTTCAATTCCAAGAACTGATAAGAAAACCTACTCATTTTAATGACCATCATATTCACAACATCCTCTGTCACAAATAGTTTGAATATGTAAACTGGAATAGCCTCTGGCAGCAAACCTGCAACCACTTGAGGCTGTGCAATAAAAAAAAATATCAATTGGACTAACATATGTAGCCTGGACAGTTTGCCATCTATCAGCTGATGCTGGTATTCCAGTGTCTGGATCGACAGTATCAGATATGGACAAATCAACTTGAACATTTACCTGGTATGTACAATCTTGTCCTTTTTTTTCACCATCAGACTTAGTATCACTAGGCTCATAATTACTATCTCTATCTACATCGTCCACCACAAATGACTCTGGATCAGATTCTTGTGAAATACTTGCAGTTTTGCTCAGAGTAAAATGTTTGTGCATCACTGCCATCTTGTAGCTGTAACAGTAACCAAAACAAACCACTGGGAAATCTAAGGTCACAAAAGGGTAGCACACATATAATCATTGTACAGTGCTAAGGGACTGTTTATCTTTACACTCATACATATAACACCCTTGCTGATTGATGTGTTAACTCATCAGTAACTCCTGAATAATAGAAATTATTGATGCACTAACACATCGTTAATGGTGTATGTGTTAATACTATCCTATAATTAGTAAGACTTGTCTTCTTTTTGTTTTAATGTTGTGGATATAGAATACAGGTTTGTGTAAGTGGTGAAATAATTTCTCTCTGTATTTTGGGGAAATGTTTGTTATATATGATCTTTAATTTTGGGTAGATCTTATTTTTAACGCAATTGATTTAATGTTACTTTATTCTGTTGATTAATCTATTCAACATACAGACTCAAAAAAGCATACATGTATTTTATGAAGATAATTTTAAACAGTTAATTAATACAGTTATCTAAGTTTGCATTAAAGAAGAAGAATCATACAAGGAACCAGAGTTCAAGAAACAGTTTTCATGAATCTTTATGTTTGAGATAATATCTAATTTAGCCATAAATTCGTTATTATTAATTTTCTTTTGAATACGGATTTTTCGCTTTAACGCAGACAGCTTTCTAAGGACTGCCAGATGATGCTATTCTCAGCCACTTATGACCAAGAAGTGATGGACTTTGCTGAGATAATTGTTTCTAATCCTGTAATCATCAGACTGCGAAAGGAAGAGGAGAGTTTAGACAACATCAAACAATTCTATGTTGTCTGTAAAAACATGGATGAAAAGTTTTCTGCCCTGTCTAACATCTATGGAGTAATTTCAATTGGGCAAGCAATTGTCTTCTGTCATGTAAGTATTTAGATTACTAGTAGTCATTCTAATAATTTTGTTTAAGGTAACATCTTGAAATTCAAGTACGATATCTTACCTCCCTTCACAAATACCTTTTCTTGACTTATAATGCCTTCTATAGATGCAAATTTTTGCTCGCCACTAGCCTTAGTACTTTCACCTACCCTGATGTGTATTCACATGAGATATCTGCATATTATCGTGCAAACAATCCTACATCAGCAGGAGTGCAACACAGCTATTGTAACTAGTGCCATCTCTTCCGATATGGTACTTATCTTCTCTCACAAGATTAGCTATTCTCTTTCAGTGTGCCCTCTATATGTGAACATTTTCTTTACACATGCCACAAAAGTTCCACTCCCCCCCCTATTGGAATTGCAAGATTCCAACATGTCTTTCATGCAAATCATCGTGCATCAGCTATGGGGCTACTAGTGCTTAACCTATCCTCCTGTCCTTTTCGCGCTGCATAAGAGGTCCTATCTGTTTTGAGAATGTGGGCTTCTCTAAAAGCCCTCATCCTTCTTGGTCATACCCACAAGTTGCCTTCAATGGGCTTTGATGGACCAGTGGAGTCTTGTTTAGAATCCATTGGACACTCCTCTCCTTTCTTACAGACTGACTTCACCTGGTGTTTGGATTGAGATAACACCACTCTGGTTGTTCCTCTTCCCCCTCCTTGTTCAGAATATCATCTCTTTGCAGATGCTTCCCTTTCCAGTTAGGATGCCTACCTAGATACTCATGAGTTCTCTGGGTGGTGAACTCTATATGAGTCTTTTCTCCATATCAATCTCATGGAGCTACTCACAGTTCATCAGACATTGATTCACTTCCTTCTGGCTCTATAGGGCTGGTCAGCGATGGTTCATTCCAACAACTTGACTGTGGTCTCATACATCTCCTGGCAAGTGGGCACTCAGTCAAGAAACCTATGTTTTCATACACTGAACCATCAGTAATTGGCCCATGGCCATCGTATTCATTTGGTGGCTTGTCATGTTCCGGGTGCCCTGAATCTAGACACGGATCACTTATTTTGTCCTGACAAGATTCTCCCTATGGAGTGGTCACTGCATCCACTAATGTTTCAGTAGATTTATTTCTACTTGGGCATTATGGATCTGGATGACATTGCCACACATCTCAACTCCCAGCTTCCACAGATTTGGTCTCCTGTTCAACATCTCTTGGCTAGGGCAGCAGATGCTCTCAGTCTGGATTGGATGGGCTTCTACCTGTATGCCACCCCTCCCATCTGTCTGCTTCCCTGGGTCGTTGCCATCATCCAGACCACTCCATGTCCTGTTGTTTTGGTGGTTCCCAGTTGACCGACACAGTTATGATTTCCACAACTGCAATAGCTAATGGTGTTGCCTCCTCCCTGCGGTCTCCCACAGGTATGCCCCTATGGGGATCCCCTTTTAGCACTCTTGAAAGGGCACTTATCTGGGTAATTTTTGCACCATCTCATCATGGGATTCTAACTAATCTGTGCATGGAGGTGAGTCATCATATTGGAAGTCAACATTTTCCTTACTTGAAGATGTATTTCTAATAGACACCTCTGTGCACATTCCTACCCTTCCTCCCCACTTTCCTGGTGTACTTTTATTGATTGCCTCATCAAAGAATGAGGATTTTTGTAGGCGATTATAGATGGAGCATTTGTGCAGGAAGATATGTCACACTTCTATTTGTGGAGGGTTTCGCTGCATGATACATCATCATGCACTAGCAAAAATTCATGTGTTTTCACATGCATTTTAGATGGGAGTTTCACAAGGCTGGTGGCATGCAAGTCTCTAAGGCAGAATAGCCTGATTTCTAGTGGAAAATAGCTAGTCTGCACAGAGGTGAGTATCTATCAGAAATACATCTTCAGGAAAAGAAAATTTTAACTTCTGTTGCATTGTGAGGTATTCATTCTTTTTTTTTTAAGTTTTAAGACTTAGTTTTTTCAAGATATTATTAAATAAACTTTCCATAAATGTTAGGACACCATTGTATAAATTTGGAAATGTAAAGTTCTATGTTTTCTAGATCTTTTTTTTTTATGTGATTATCTCCTTTGGCCATTGTATGTTCCTGAGACTTTTTATACCTGATTGACTGTAATGAGGTCTAACCTATCAACTTTTATTATGTAATTAGACAGTAACTGATGGGATAGGTATCAACCCCATAGGCATTTTTGAACAAATTTTTTTTTTATTATTTATGTACCAAATTACTTGTAATTCATAACCTTGTTGGTTATAGGGTCCCTAATAACATAGGTGTCATACACAAAAAATGTAAGCAAAAATGCCATCAGTACTGCAGTGAAATCTGCTAATTACTGCTGGGGCTTTCTATGTATTTTAAATAGACAATGAGTAATTTCATTCTATTTTAATTTCGTCAATTCCTTATACTGTGTGTTGTGACAGCCAAAAACATAGTATTGCTCAAAATGATGCAACATATAGACCCCACCAGTAATCAACAATACAAATATGAGTCTGTAACATGAGGGTTAAAAAAACTTAAGCATTGCTAATCATCTTATTAATACATAGAATTATCTTCATAAATTAATAAGCTAATTTTATAAATTATTGTAGATCTAAGCTATATAGTTTGCGTACTTTAATCAGAAGTAAGACAGGCATCAGTTTAAAAATATCCTCTAAACTTCTGGAGTAAGAGAGGAGAAAAAACGAAGGTTTAGTTGGTCTAGTACATGTGATAAAATCATAGGTACTTTACATACCTAGAAACTTGCATGCATTAAAAACGAGAAAGATAAAGAAGATAGCTGTGAATAAATGCAAAACAACCACACATCCACTTAGATTCATAAAAATAAGAGTAAGAGCTTGTACATTGGTTAGTTTAATTATTACTTAATTGTCAGTTACATCATTATTGGTATGACATAAATACATGTATTTTGTTATATGTTGATACAAAATATGACATTTTATAGTGCTTACATCAGTTATCTGTATTTCTTTCAGTGTGTGGGAGATATTTTCTGCAACAGTAGTTATAAAAGTGTTTGTATTGTACCACACATGATCTTTCAGATTTGTATGTATTTAATAGACAAGAAGAACAGCATCCTGGTTGTCAGAAAAACTTACCAAAGAAGGACATGCTGTAGCTTTACTCTCTGGAGACTTGCAGGTTGACCAAAGATTAGCTGTCTTGAATAGGTTCAGAGATGGAAAAGAAAAAGTCCTCATTACTACCAATGTTTGTGCTAGAGGTAAACATATATTGAGACTTAAATAGCTATATCTTTTGTATTAAAATTAATATTTTACAATTTAGATTTTGCAATAGTTGTAAATATTAAACAGAAATGCTAGGCTACTTATTAAAGGGAAAATAGCTGTGTAAGAATAGTAAAACAAGAAATGCTCTCAACTGATTAAACCACAATGGACCACTGACATATTTGTATATAATTTTAAATTCTAATACCAACTTTAATCACAATATAAATGTGTACCAAAGGTAAACTGCAGATCAATATATCAGTCAAGCATCTAGCAGTACAATAGTGTATTTTATTCAGAAGTCGATTCCTCTGATCAACTGGATGTCACTCTAAAGGATATTTGTTAGAATTTTGGAATTTTTGCTTTGTTTTCCTTCTGTTCTTGGCATAAAATTACTTTGTACAATTAAAATAACAAATATCTAAAGTATGTTGTAACAACCTCATAAAAACAAGAAATGCAACACAATGCTGATTGTAACATATACAGCAAATTATGTGAAGTTTTTTGTACTCCACAGTGTATCACTTTTTATCGTGAAGGGTTAAATTATTGCTGTAATGTTAGCTTTTTTTATATCTGATATGTTTAATAGTCTTGTTGGAATTATGTAATGTCCATAATTAATATGAAACTGAGATGATTTAAACTGACATTTTTATCAAAAAATCATAATCATTGTTAAGATATATATGACTGAGAATGTGGTTTATACTTCTTAAAACAAATGCACAACAAAAATCATGTGTGTTATAAAAAAAAAGCAAACATCTGATCCTTGTTCATTGTACATACATTAAATCTGTGATACTGCTAAAACCTCAATAACTAAATCAAAAGAAATTGTTCAGTTTTATGAACAGATGATGGGCTTTGTATGGATATTATTGATATAGTTGTGAACACTTATACACTGGTTGATTTTTATAGTTTATGTAATTTTAGAAATTTATGTTATTTGTCTTTTGGTGATAAATGTTTCAGTTTAATTTTTATGTAACTTCAGTATGTCATTAACATTTATAAAATGTTTGGTATGGTTAAATCTTTCTTATTGATTGTAGCATAGATAAAACTGACACAGAAAAAAAAGTGTTATGTTTGGGGTAATAAAAACCTTTGTTCCTCATATTACATACCTAAAGCTTTTGGACATAAAACATGCCAAGTCTGGGGATATTCTGGAAGCACTAGAGGCAGCATTCCAGTTTTGCCTAATAAATTTATATCCAAGGTGGTAGGCTTTGAAGGTAATGGTACAAGCATCAATTTTGGTCTTAGACATGGTGTGGTAACACTTGATTTGTTCAAATGTACTATGTCACCCATAGAAAGGAACTCATTCTGAAGAACATCTACTGGTTCAGTAGTTGACATCCTGAGATCCATCTTCCTCTTCTAAAAAGTTCTTCAGAAAAACTTAGAGAAGTAATAAGGTAGCAGAAATAAGAGTGGACCACTTCTCTTAAGTCCAGCAGAGCCAGTGAAACAAGATAGATGCAGTATAAGCAAATTGCTCTTTCCAAATTTCTGAATAAACTGGCCAAGCAAAGACAAGCATATAGAAAACCTTACTGAAGACAACGAAAAGCCTGATGAAGATAGGGTAACAGTGAATGGACTTAGAAAACTTAAAGCTTAAATTTTTGTTTTGACATGTTTCTATTTCAGGAATTTTTTTGTGAGAAATCAAAAAAAGTATTTTTTTTTGTTTCAATAAAATGACATCATTTAGCCCAGTGCTTTGAACAAACTAGAAAGTGTATAAACAATACTTATTTTTCTGCAGGATGAGTAAAGCCTCATAGAAAGTAAAAGCTGGTGTACATGTGAGAATGGATAATTTAAGGGTCAGTCACTAAACAATGTGAGAACTAAAGATCTGACAGATGAACAAAAACAGATTGTTGTTACTCATTAATGACACCTTGGACAAACATTCTAAAGGTGATCAAACTGAAATACATTTTACAGCAACAAAAGAGCTTGGCCAAAAGTATTGGCCTGACCATAATTTTTTGCCTTTATGTTATAAAACAATTTAAACATATTACTGCTTATTTCAGCATAATTTTACAGATTTGCAATTGTGACAATCAGGCTGTCCTATGTGAATAGAAGTGAAGACATACATCTAGCAATCTGTTTGTTGACATTCATTCACTGCCTATGTGGCAGCATATTCACTGGAATGATGCTGATAGGGAAGACTTTAAGAACATTCTTAAAGCAGTAAATCTACAACATTTAACTCTATCCACATACTGTAAGAGAGTCTTCAGCACTTAGAAGAGAATAAAAAGTTATTGGCACTGCAGCCTGGATACAAACTCCATTTACCAACTTATAAGAATTACTATCAACCTATATGAAGAACAAGGATAGTAACAAACTAAAAATAATAGCAAGCAGCATATAGTAGTTGTCTAGCCAGCAACTATATAAACCAAACTCTCACTCTCACTGAAAAACATTTTAAGAGAGAAAAGGAAGGAACTCAGTTAGTTAATAAAATGTAGTTCAGTGGCTTTTTTCTTCTATGTGGCTGGCACTTTTGCCAGTACATTTTGAAGTAACTGACAAACATTTGTCGGTGGCTAAAAAAAGTTAATTTCAAGCCTTTAATAGTAATGTTTTAAACATTTTACAAAATAATTTATTTTGTTTATTCTCACTTTATACATATCCATGGTGGACAAAGTGCAGATAGCCCATTGTGTAGCTTTCCAATAAAACAACACCAGCCTTTTTTGTACTTAGCTCTTTATTTTTCATGACACAGGAATTGATATAGACCAGGTAACTGTAGTGGTCAACTTTGACCTTCCTATTGACCAGGCAGGAAGGGCTGACTGTGAGACATATCTGCACAGAATTGGCCGGACAGGACGCTTTGGAAAAGTGGGACTTGCCATTAACATGGTTGATGGACCGCGAACACTTGCCTTATTGAAGCAAATAGCAGATCACTTTGGTGAGCTCATAAAACTTTGAAATTAGTAGTAAAGTACAAAATGATAGATTTAAGTAATAATATGAAAGTAAATGTATACTGTCTTATATTTATTTTTTATCTTAGAAGCTTTGGTTGATGAGTTCATAAAACTTAGAAATTCTATAAATAGTGCAACTTTATAGCAGAGAAACAAAAGGATCAAGGAAAACAAAATTGTGTAACATGCCTCATTTAGCATGCCTATTTGTATCTGTTGTGAAGTTATTGCTAGGACTAGGTATGTCATGCTTTCCTTTATGGCTAGAGATAAAGGTTAGAAATTTTTTTTTTTTCTTTTAGGAAGAAATATCTTAAAGTTGGATGCTGAAGATGTTGATGAAATTGAAAGACTGAACCAAGATTGATCCTCTGTGTAAATTAACAACAAAAAATAAATAAGAAAATGAAAAAAATTTAAAGATTAATATACATATTACGTTTGTTTTCTAAGGAAAATCTTTAAAAATACTTGTAAATTAAATCTCCCGGTGATTCAAAGACTCAGTTCTTTTAAAATAAGGAATGCATAAAATGAATTTCTTTTTAAAAGAATATAAAAAGCATCTTTATCAAAATATTTTTTAAAGGTACATTTTAATGTGTACTTGACATTTTCATACTTATATCAAGCATGTATAGGGAATGTTACTGTGCCTTTCATTACACCCTTAGGTATGTTTAATCCTAGAAGCTTTTTTTATAATATGTATTCTATGAAAATTGCCGAAATAATCAGCTCACGAATAATAAGTTCTTGTTTAAGTGTGTATAGTTCTTCATTTTAAAGAATTAATTGTGAGCTATAAGATATGTCTACAGCAAATTGACTTGTTTTCACTGTGATGGTACACCAGTAATAAACTAACTAGGTTAAAAATTATCATAAATATCAGCTTAATTGGTTTGATATTTGTCTACCATGATAGAAAGCCAAGTTTAATTCTCTAGAGGCCTGACATAACTCACAGTTTCTTTAAATAAAATGCATATATATATATTTCTTTTTTTAATTACATAATTTCCACTTTTTTTATTTTAGCTGACCAATTCAAGTGCTTTTGTGTGTCCAATGTTTTTATGCACATTTGGTGTCTATGTTACCATTCTTAATTTTACTTTTAACTTTGACTGAATGTCTTGTATAAAGGATATAATTAGATAATGTTCCCTTTTCTTTTTTCTGTTGTTATTAAATCCCCAAGTACCTCATGAGATGCTACATGGATACCCTGCTTTGTCAAAGTTAATATTTGACTTATTTAACTAACTAAGTTCTTCTTCCTTGAAGTTCAAAGCCAGAAGTTTATCTCCCTTCTCAATAAAACAAAAAAGCCCACTAACCATTGGATAGTTTCCAATTATGAAACAAAAATTATGGTAATCGAGCCAGCGAACTCACATAGTGAGAGTGCTGTCTGAACTATGTTGTCAGATTGTTTGTAATGTGCCAGGGAGTATTTCATGTTCTAACTTGCAATAATTATCAATAACCTTCCTAAGCTTTCACCATGGATGTCAAGTAATTTTAAATTATTGATGTGACTTTGATTAAGACAGCTCTTGCTTAAATTAGTGTTATATTACATGTGGTATTGAAGTCCACTTTTGTCCAACAGATTCCACAAATGTTATGCAGAGAATGAAATCAATGCAGACAGAAAAGAATAAGTGTGACAAAAACAGTGTCTTTATTCACAATAGTGTGTGATCTTTACTCGCTGGCTTGTTTCTGTATTTGTCATATCCCAAACTGGCTTTTGAGGCATAGAAAAGGCTTCCAAAAGTAAGAATAATGAAATATTTGGACCAGGGTCTTAGTGGATTATCTCAAGAGTTTTAGATTACCTACATCAGTGATCATTTCAAATAATCATATTCAAGGATGTTACACCTTTAAATCAGATTAACTTTCACTAATCTTCTTCTGTAGACATCCCTTGGAATGAGTATTACTTCACTTTCCAGAAAGGCATGACACAAAAACAGTGCTAAGCAAGCATATGTCCTATAAAACAATCATTGTAGTGTGTAACCTTTGTCTAATGTAGAGGAAGATACAAAGCCAAACTTTGACAGATAAGAGTAAAATATATTATTTAAGGGTAACATGTTTATAATGATGTTGCAACTTCATGCACAACACCTGCATGAAAAATTTCAAAAATTGTCTGAATATATCTGAATAAAACTGTATCATGTATTAGTTATGGAAGGGTGAAATTAGCAGTTCTTTCAACTATATCACCCCTAGAGTTTTCAGAAACTTAAAAACGTTTCAGCTATTTATTTGTGAAATGGTACACTAATAAAATAAAGTAAATGACAAAGTAACTAGAAAACAAGATAAGTGTGGTTGAAGTATGATTGTTTTATTTCATGTTTTTTGCCTTTTAAATATCTAGTATATTGTGATAAGACTTATTTGTAAAGTAATTTGATATTAATATACTAAATTATAAACTAGGACCAACTCTAGATTTAAAAAAAAATTAAAACACATTGCTTTGACAAATAAGAGTAACATATATTATTTAAGGGTAACATGTTTTAATTTAATAAACTCTTGATTTTTTATTTCATATGTTCAGTGTTAATAAATAAAATGTATTCTAAATTCAAATGCTATTTCTGTTGTGCACAAAAGCTTTTAACAAGCCTCATAAACTGCCCTTAAACTGTTTTCCAACTTAAAATATACAACTAAACGAATATTTATCATTTTTATGAACCTCTTCTTCCATAACCATAAATGATAGTTCTAGCGAAAATACTGTTTTGTTATATGTGACTAATCTTGCAGTCCATAAATAATAGTTCTAGCGAAAACTTGTTGTTTTGTTATATGTGACTAATCTTGCAGTCCATAAATAATAGTTCTAGCGAAAACTTGTTGTTTTGTTATATATGACAAGTGGCATTCTTACAAACCAAGAGACTACTTAATTAGTTAAAATTGATTTTCAATCCATTAACATAATGATACTGTATTTCCAAGATTTAAAATAAAAATGTTGACTTACACATGTGTAAATATATCCCTCGTAAAGTAAAAATGTGACATCTTCAGCAATACACACATGTAATGAGTAGCGCCCTGATGAGCTTAATTGTTGGAGTCCAATTAAAACTACTCGTTACACTTGTATTAAACACCTTTATTTAGATACATTTACTATCTTCTATAATTCTACACTAGCTGATTAAGAGAGAGATATTATACTTACAGTAGAGTTGGGTTGTTGGAAGTCTTAGCGACATTTGACATCTTCATTGTCAGCTTTTTTAGGAACTCTTCAGAGCCAGGAAGACTACTGATTTTTCGGTCTCTGACATAGGTTTTTAAACTAACTTTTCTTTGTATTATCTCGACTCGCTAAATAGGACACACCATCACCCACAAGTAGTCCTGTGCTCCTACTGGATACTTTAGGGGAATTCCTGGGCTAAACCAAAATTCTCAGGTAATTGGTTATAGATAAGTGGTGTTAGCAGGCCACCTATTCACTTGTACTGCTACACCCATGTTCTGTAATTGATATTGCCTTAAAATGCCAATATTACTCACTAAATCAAAACCTTTCTATAGCTTTCCTAGTTCTAAGAGGTTGAGGTCAGTAATCCATCAACCTGTCACAAGTACTAGTGCACTCATCACAAACAATAAAGTCATATCGCTACACAAGTAAATAAGTAAAGGATTCAAACATGCATTATAATCAGATAATTATTTTGTGACACCGGCAGCATTATTTGTTCACATTGCATGTTCAATGCAAACTAAACGTGTAGGTTCAGCTATTTCGGCTATTTTACTTTTCAAAACAGATATTTTCCTCACATAGATTTTGAAACAATGTTACAGTAACGTGATGCATTATCTTGCATTTATAGAGTAGAACTTCGATTAAAGGACACTGCAGAATTAAAGGTAAACCTTTTCACTCTCTTTCTTTTTCTACTATGTGTAACTAAAAATAAGTCTTGCAATAATGGGCACCTCAATATTCCAGATTAAAGACAATGTCTTTAGTTTTGTTTTCTTTACAGGCACTCGATAAAGTGGGCAATTATCTTTGAATGCCTGTACGGTATACTGCTAAATTCCAAACAGCCCAGAAGGATGACCAATATTCAAACACTTGCGATGTTTATTGGATCGAACCATATACTGTAATAAACATTTTCACAGATTCAAAGTACAATCTTATTACTCTGGGGAATTTTCTTTATGAAAACAATACGATACATAAGCTGATAAATTCCACATTGTGTTATCGAAGAAGGAGTCAAGTAGGCTTATTTTTGTGCACGTGCTTTGCTGCTCTCAAGAGTATCGTATTACGTTATCACATAAACAGTCTAATGACACGAGCGGTGATTTGTTGCTTTATTTTCAGCGGATTTCTAGTTCATTCCTTGACAGAAAAATTAACACAGAAAATAAATGTGAAATGTTTAGCAGTTCAAACTCTGATGAGAAGTACTTTGTAACCAATAATAAAGAAAAAAGGGCACAGCTAATATTCCCCTTGAGACCTCCTGTTAACAACTCACGAGTATCCGTATCCTGCAAACATTGAGCAAAATAAGAGTGCCTTAAAATTAAGAAATTTAGTATGGCCAGTATGTAATCCAGTTTTGCATGGCTCCTTTTTGATATTCGGGGCACCTTGGTATTGATATTGAGAAAGATTATCAAATATGTTAATCACCAGTTACAAATCAGTGTTCTGTAACTTTGTTATATGTAAAACTCACGTGTCATCATAGTCCAATATGTTTTAAACAGGTATTATTATATATATAAGTAAAATCTCAAAAAGTATCACACATACTGAAACAATTGTTAACAAAACTTCAAGATACACTAATACACTATTTATGAAAACTACAAACATTTGAGTTTATAAAATACTGTATTGTCTCGTTTATGTTAGCTATCATACAACTTTTGTAATTATGTACATTTTATTAGTTGTTCATTTCAGTTCAGTATGTAAGATTTTTAATACAGTTTATAAACAAAACAGTGTACAATTATTGTATTTTGCTTAGTTCATCATACTTTACAAGAAAAACATTTTATGCCCATTAGAATTTCGAATAGTCC